TCATTCTTCTCATGTCTGTCTCCGTTTCTCAGTGTCAAGTGTTCTTCTTTCTTCCTCTTTTCCTTTGACCTTGAGGATTCAAAGTGAGGATTTGGCTTGTGACGCAGTTTGGTGCTTTCCTCAATGGGTGTGCTATCCATTTCCAGCGCTTCTTTCTGATTTCTTCCTCCGCTGAGATCTGGTTTATTCTCTCCCACAGTAAGTGGTCGTTGATAGTGTCTGGCCAACGGATCCGGAATATTTTGCGTAAACAACTGTTAATAAACACTTGCATCCTCTGGATGATGGCTTTCATAGTTCTCCAAGTTTCCGCTCCATACAGTAGAACTGTTTTTACATCTGTATTGAAAGTTCTTACAGTTGTTTCAAGCTCCAATTACTTTTCTACGAGATGAGGTCTCTAACCACATGCCTAACCCTCTTCCTTTATCCATGCCTGGGACCGGCAGTAACCGCAGGGCGGTTTCAGGCGGAGTTATCAATATCTCTTCTTCTTTGACGTGTAAAGTCTTGCAAGTGATGATTAAACCATTAGAATCGAAATAACAGTTCAAATCTCTCATTTCATTGAACTTAATAAAAGTGAGGACAGATATACTTATTAGTCTATTTCAAAAATAAATTGCAAATAAACTTTTATCGATCACTTCGTTAAAATTACGATAGAATGCCTATTGAAATTCATAACATTTGACGGTTACTAATCAATGATTACTTTAGTCTGGTAGACAAAGAGGCTAGATGATAGTTTTGTGACATACGGTTTATGTTCTACGATCCAATAAATATTTTAGTATATAACCAAACTCCTGAAAGTGTTTGGCAGTAATACTTTCTTACTTTTTTTTCCTAATTACATTTTAAAACGTTAGCATTAGCATAATAGAAATAATTTTCAAAGTGTTCATAAAAGATATTTATCTAGCAAGAAGTAGAAAATAATATGCCAACAATCGATGAGTTTTTATTTTATTCTCTGAATACCCTTAACAGCTAAAAATATACATATTTCTATCTTTAAAAAATACTACCAATATGGAAATATCTAGTTCTATATACATCATTGGAAGTGCACTGGTTAAAATGAACTAACAACATGAATATACAATTTACACATTGTTTTATATCGTTCAAATTTCCGTAAAACATAACAATACTCATTATCTTCATGATTTGTGAAGTTTTGGTATACCCATTGAACCAAAGTGTTTACTTTATGTATAACATTTCCCTTGGGTCATCTAATTTTCACGTTCAAAAACTTTAGGCCGTATTTTTATCAATAGTATATATATCATTACTTATGTAGGTCATAAAACGTTTGGTATCGGAAACATTAATGTTTGTGATTTATTGATTATTTCAGTTCAGTATAGCCTTGACTATGAAATGAAAAACTGATAAACTGGGATTGTGTTGCCATTTGCGTTAGGTGCTTATAAAAATATATTTCTTATCTTTTAGGTTTCTTCTCTGCACTCATCGTAAAGGTACGTTTAGAAACTAAGACAAAACTTCGAATTCATACAGCAAAATTTGTGTTTTTCGGCAATAAAACAAAGTCATAAATCTAATAAATTGTTTGGTAAAATGGAATTTAACAGTAGTAAATCATCGTTGACAAATTATTAAGTTTCAGCCCTAAATGTTTTAGTTGTTAGTGTTTTCACACACAAAAAATCCCATAACTTTGTAAATTTTGAAACTTGAACCAATAAAAAGAGACAATACTATAACTTGACGTTTACTTCAAGCTCACTCAAGTTACAAAAACGAACGATTATTTATACTTGTATAATAAGAGATGCAACTGAGAAAATTTTCAAAAAGTGTTTCATAACAGTTTATAAGTATGATTAGTTTGATATTCAAGGTTCAATCCACGAACTTAAAGATATTTCTCCAATGATATTGGATTTAGACCACTGTACCATGATCTAATCGGATAAATACTAAGCAACGTTGAACTTTCGGAGAGATCCTACCTTAAGTTATTGTTGATATTTTTAATGTATAAATATTTAGTATTTAAACTTCTGTATTTTGTATTTTCCTACTTACATTCTTTCCCATAATGAATAAACTGTTGTTATGAGTTGTACCTTTCTCAAATTATTGTTAACTCATTACAAACATACTACTCAGTCCTCCTCCGCTTGTACAGTCATTGTACTCATATTATAATTTCTTGATTCCGTCGATATGTGGTCGGGATTTTGTTTCATACTATTGTTTTATTGATACATACATTCGAACGGCATGATTAAAAGCTATCTGCTTTCTAATTTGCTCATTATTCTTAAATAAGAGATTGGCTTTCTATTCTGGTTATCGAATGAGCAAGGGTGAGGAATAATATTCTGGACAGTCATTTAATATTACTCTTGGCTATTATCCCACATTTGTTGTGTGGTTGGTTAGCTAAAGTTTATTGGTACTAGATAGATAGTCTAGATGAACTGATCATTACTTGGATTAGAATAATGCAACTACTCTCATGTCCTATGATCCAATCTTACAGGCCTTAAGTAAACTAAACAGAAAAATCCTGTTTACTTTTACCATCACAGGATTCATACTTCTATTTTCGGCCAGTTAATGTTATTGCATGACCATTATCCTATTTCATCAATAATATTTATCTCATGAATCTAAAATATCATTGATCTTAGCTTCTTACAACTGTCATGTGCTCCCTAGTTTCAATACTTATTTTATTGCAGTGATTTCTTAATTGATATAAACTTTGAACTTTTGTGTAATCATTACATCCTAATAATTAACTTTGAATAATTAAAAGCTTTTCGTTGTAAGATTAAATAGGACTAACAGTTCAAAATAATTAGTAAAAACTAAAAGAAAAGATAGTTTAGGAATAATTTCATGAAATAAAAATGAAGATTTTAATCCATTTTATTAAAATGATACTTTGGTTACTAACCTACAAGATGAAAAACATATTGATTACACATAATAATAATAGTAATATTAATAATAATAATAGTTACCAAGCTCTACAGTCACGAAATTCAGTTAAGAGGATTCTTTCCAAAGAATTTGTTACTAACCAATGCAATTATCTATGTATAAATGAAATTGTAAAGTCCCGCAAAGGACGAAACGGCCGTCCAGTGCTTTCAGGTTTTCAATGGTGGTTTTATATCGATCGATCCATGATATCAATCAAAAACTTAACAATCTCCACAACCCCTTGATGAAAAAAAGATTAGTTAATTGAATAAAAATATCCTCTCAATATATATTATGATACAATAGAAAAGCCTTAACACTTTTATGTTGTGAATAATAATAATAATAATAATGTAAGTTCTACAGAATCTGTGTATACCAAGAAGGCAAGTAAAATTAATAAGTTGACATTGTATTACAGTGAAAATGGATCAATTCAACTAATATAGTTTCATCAAAATAATTAGTAGTATTGAATTGGTTAAATGATATTATATCAGAAACAATTATGAGTATGCTAGAAATAATTATAAGGAAGGAGATAGTTTGAAATACCAAGTTAATGGAACAAACATGATGATACGAACAATGAGATTTACGAAAAATGGGATTTACGAAGATTTCATTTCATGAGTGGTAAAACATTAAATAAATTTTTTTCTTAGAACGACTCGACAGGAACTAACGAAGTTTAATGGATTTTTATGTGGAAAAAAAAAACAAAACAAATTCATATATTTTTGATTTAAAGTATACTAATGTGGTGAATGAAGTCTTGGTGAGTAAGAGAAAATTATTGTTGAATGCAAAACGACAGAGTGCCTTCATATATTATGAAAATCATACATTAACTACATTATTTGCAGATAGTCCTTCAGCTCCCTTGTACGTGCTTCATGATTCTTCCAATCCTGTTTTTATTACAATTACTCTCTATTTCAGACACTATACTTTTGATTGCTGCCATATACTACTTATATCTGTCAGCATAGATAACATACATTACTCCTAGAGTAAACAAGAAACTGTGAGTGTCCAGTGAATCAGCTAAAAAGAATGGCAAGTGAGTCATTGTGGGATGATCCATGTTACATTTCCGCATTAGTATTGCAAAACTACTGTTAAATGAATATATTGTGTAATCTATAAGATGAGTGAAAATGCAAATTTGTGGTAGAATTACGATATATCATCATGGATATATATGAGGCCAGATGGCAATCGACAGTAAGCCTACAATCTGTTTATCATGTTTTTTATAATTCTATTAGCATTCGTTGAAAATGTAAGTTACTCATTGGTATTCTCTGTGAATATAGGTCTCATAAAGATTTAATATTTTTTCTGAACACATAAATATCATATGTTGAAAGATTTCCTTGACTAAATCTAAATTGTAATAGTATAATAATAATTATTATTATCATAATTTCAGCTGTCTGAATGGATTCAGGAAGCTGTTAGTCAAATGAACATCTACATTCAGCTAAACAAAATCATAGTTGTTTAGCCAGTTAGATCAATGATTTAATGATTCAATTCCTCATCTATATGTTATGATTAAATTGTAACACACATATAACACATGAATAAATGACTATTATCTTTCACATTAATCTCAAAATAAAAATAAAATTATTTAGTATTGTAAAACATTCAACTCACCCAAAATTTAACTTCGTTTCCTACTCATTAAACTTTCTTCTTTCATCTTTGAACTTCAAACGATGCACATAAGTTTCCTTTTTTTGACATATCAATGCGATTTGAAAGGTCGTTAACTTACTGACATCAAAACCATTCATAAACTTTTAGTGTTTCCTGCATATCTCAGTTTATCAATCGATCAACTTATAAATGACCTGAAGCAGAGTGGTTGTAAAACGATTGATGTAATAGGAACAATAAATGAAGAGTTTAGGATTAAGTCAACTTGTAAACAATATCCTAAGAGGAAAGGGTATGGGATGGTAAAATAATACAATGGATTAGATTAAAAAAGAACTCGAAACGGTATGTCTATATGAAACATTTTATCCACATTGTGTAATACTCATTTGAACAGCGGATGAAATCCTTTTATTCACTTCAAACAATCTATAAATTTATATATTACTTACTTACGCCTGTTACTCCCAATGGAGCATAGGCCGCCGACCAGCATTCTCAAACCCACTCTGTCCTGGGCCTTCTTTTCTAGTTCCATCCAATTCTTGTTCATTTTTCTCATATCTATCTCCATTTCCCGGCGTAATGTATTCTTTGGTCTTCCTCTCCTCCTTCGACCTTGAGGATTCCATATGAGGGCTTGTCTTGTGACGCAGTTCGGTTCTTTCCTCAATGTGTGTCCTATCCACTTCCAGCGTTTCTTCCTGATTTCTTCCTCCACTGGGATCTGATTTGTTCTCTCCCACAGTAGGTTGTTGCTAATAGTGTCCGGCCAACGGATCTGAAGTATTTTGCGCAGACAACTGTTAATAAACACCTGTATCTTTTGGACGATGGATTTCGTAGTTTTCCAGGTTTCCGCCCCATACAGTAGAACTGTCTTGACATTTGTATTGAAAATTCTGACTTTGGTGTTGGTTGCCAATTGTTTTGAGTTTCAGATATTCTTCAGTTGTAAATATGCTGCTCTTGCTTTGCCAATCCGTGCCTTCACATCTGCATCAGATCCACCGTGTTCATCGATGATACTGCCCAAATATGTAAAGGTTTTTACATCTTCCAAATCTTCTCCGTCAATTGTGATTGGATTGGTGCATGCTGTGTTATATCGGAAAATCTTGCTTTTCATTTTGTGTATATTGAGACCTATTGCTGCTGAGGCTGCAGCTACACTGGTTGTCTTCTCCTGCATTTGTTGTTGCGTATGAGATAGAAGAGCCAGATCATCTGCGAAGTCCATGTCATCCAACTGCATCCTAGATGTCCACTGTATCCCGTGCTTCCGTTCAGATGTTGACGTCTTCATGATCTAGTCGATCACCAGGAGAAAGAGAAAGGGTGAGAGTAAGCAACCTTGCCTGACAGCGGTCTTTACTTCGAACGACTTTGTCAACTGTCCTCCATGAACGATTTTGCAGTTTAATCCATCGTAGGAATTCCGTATGATATTGACTATCTTCTGAGGAACGCCGTAGTGTCGAAGAAACTTCCATAGGGTTGTTCTGTCCACGCTATCAAATCCTTTTTCGTAGTCAATGAAGTTGATATAGAGTGATGAATTCCATTCAATTGATTGTTCCACAATGATCCGTAGAGTTGCGATTCGGTCTTTGCACGATCTATCCTTACGGAATCCTGCCTGTTGGTCGCGAAGTTGTGCGTCTACGGAGTCCTTCATCCTGTTTAACAATACCCTGTTGTAGACTTTTCCTGGTATTGAAAGAAGAGTGATTCCCCTGTAGTTTTCACAGTTGCTGAGATCGCCTTTCTTTGGTATTTTGACAAGAAGTCCTTCTTTCCAGTTTTTGGTACCTGTTCCTCATCCCAGATCTTTCTAAAGAGAGTTTGGAGTATCCTTGCAGTTGCCGCTACGTCTACTTTCAGTGCCTCTGCTGGAATGCTGTCTAGTCCTGCTGCTTTGCCACTCTTGATTTGTCTGATAGCCATGCTGATTTCTTCAATTGTCGGTGCGCCAACATCAATTGGGAGGTCCGTGAGTGCTGCCTCGATGTTGGGTGGGTTCAGTGGGGCTGGTCGATTCAAGAGTTCTTTGAAGTGTTCTACCCACCTGTTTCGTTGTTCTTCAATGTTGGTGATCACTTTGCCTTCCTTGCTTTTCACTGGTCGTTCTGGTTTACGGTGATTTCCAGAGAGTTTCTTTGTTGTTTCATACAGTTGTCTCATGTTTCCTTCTCTGGCAGCCTTTTCCGCCGTCATTGCTAAATCTTCCACATATTTACGTTTGTCGGTTCTGATGCTCCTCTTCACTTGCTTGTTTACTTCTGCATATTCAGCCTGTGCCTTGGCTTCTTCTGCTCTTGTTCGACTGGTATTGATTGCTGCCTTCTTGTTCCTCCTTTCTTGAATCTTATCTAGTGTATCGATAGTGATCCAATCCTTGTGGTGGTGCTTCTTTTGGCCCAGAACCTCATGACATGTTGAAGTGATTGCCTCTTTTATCTCTTTCCAGTTGCTCTCCATAGTAATTTCTTCTCCATTGAGTAGATCATGAAAGGCCTGGAACTTATTGCTGAGGGTTATCTTGAATTTATTGAGTTTGTCATTATCCCGAAGAAGAACCGTATTAAATTTTTGTGATATTGTCCTCCCCGTTGTCCAGAGCCTCTTGAGTTTCAATTTCATCTTGGCGACCAGCAAGTGATGATCTGATGCTATATCAGCCCCTCTCTTGGTTCTCACGTCCTCCATCGTCCTCCTGAACTTTTTGTTGGTGCAGATATGGTCGATTTGGTTCTGTGTGATGTGATCCGGTGAAGTCCATGTGGTTTTGTGTATGCGTTTATGTGGGAATATAGTCCCGCCTATGACCAGTTTATTGAAGGCACATAGATTTGCAAATCTCTCACCATTTTCGTTCCTTTCTCCCAGTCCGTGTCGTCCCATGATCTCTTCATATCCGGTGTTGTCAATTCCAACCTTGGCATTTAGGTCTCCCATCAGAATAGTCAGGTCCTTTGTTGGGCACTTCTCGACGATTGACTGCAGCCTATCGTAGAATTGATCTTTAGCGTCTTCATTGTCGTCATTGGTAGGCGCGTAGCATTGGATGACGTTCATTGTAATGCCCGTTTTCTTTGTTTTGAAGGAGGCTTTGATTATCCTTGGTCCATGAGATTCCCATCCTATAAGTGCATTTTGTGCTTGTTTGGACAGCATCAATGCAACTCCTTGTGTATGTGGAGCATTTTCTTGTTCATGTCCGGAGTATAACAGCAGCTCCCCTGAAGCTAGTCGTTGTTGTCCAACTTGCATCCAATGTGTTTCACTGATCCCAAACACCTCTAAATTGTATCTCCTCGTTTCTGCAGCAATTTGGAAAACTCTCCTAGTCTCCCACATTGTGCGAGCATTCGATGTACCTAAATAAATGGTTTCTCTGGTTGTCAGAAGGGGCATCAGCCTCGTGACTTCCGAAGAAACTCGGCTTTCAGCATGAGGCGTCATAATTCTTCTAAACGAAGACCTTCTGAATCCAAGGGCAGAGTTTAAATGGTTTATTTATATATACAACTACCATTTATATTGGCCGATAATTATATATTTGTTAACTCTGTATAACAGAGTGATATTGTGAGAAGAGAAGGTGAATTAATGTAAACTTCATTCTTATATTATCTAGGTAATTGATGTGATGGCTTGGTCGACTAGTCTCTGATGATTGACCACTGTTTAAATCTCAGTTCTTCTTCAATCACTCAAGCTGTTCATATATTTTGTGTTACTCTAGTTTTCACTGAACTGACTCATTCGTTATTTTTATGACACCTTGTTAGCTCAAGTAACTTAAATATCTTCACTCATTTGACGAATAATCTTCTCCTTGAAAGATATTTGTAATTTTTCAAGTTTCGTATGCTTCATCAAAGTCACAATTCGTTTCTATTTCCCTTTCTGTTTTCTTCAATTTGTTCTTCTTAGCCTTCTGTTGCCATACCTTCCACTTCTGATTGGTGTTACATACTACTTATGTCTGTCGACATAAGTAGCATACACCATAGTACCATTAATAAGTCGAAAAAAGTGTTGATTCCTACTAATTTTTTGTGTATATCACCTGTTATTATTGCACTATTTATTAAATACTTTTCGTATGGAACGAAATCTATATTTCGCATTTGTTACCTAATTTCATATTTCTCTTCTTTATTTCATGATCTACCGAATACGAATTATAGAATAACTCTTATTTATTTGAATAATTTCACAATAAACACCAACATACAATAACCTAATACATTAATGACCAGTTTATATGAAATATAAATCGGCCAATAACTGTGATGTAATTTTTCATATTCACTCTTTTGTACATTATTCGATTTCGCTTTTGTTAAGTTTATCAATTTTCCAGATATTTTACATTTTATTTCTTTACTTCACATTTAAAATTCTCATTTTGTTTTTCTCTTTAATACCACAATAATTTTTATGTAAGAATTTACTTTTGTACTAGTTTTCTGTTTATTTTGTTTAAAACTTCGTTTTATTCAAATAAAAGACGTGAAATACAGTCAGTTTATTTTATTCTACAAAGCCATCGTTATTTGTTAGCTGTTTTTTTGGGGGGGAGTGAGGTGAGGGATTAAGGAAATAAGGGACTTATGAAACAAATTATCTGTCTCTTTACTCAAACGATAAAGTCGCCAAAATTAATTGAGTTGTTTTACTGAAGTTACGTTTTAAATGTTGAATACTTTCAATTCAACTCATCTTATTACTACTCTTGTTAGTTTTTTTAGATAATTTTGCAAGCTTAAATGCTGGAGAATTTTCTAAGACCATCCAGATGACATTCACTTGTATTCTAATGACATCTATATATTCTAAACAACTTTTGACATAATTTTTGCATTATTTAATGTACTATTGAAGGGTAGTCTTAATGCCAATACATACATCTTTCCATTCATTGGTGAGTATTTGTTATGTGGATGAAAAACAATAAACAGCTTCTAGAAAGCTAAATTTAAACAAACTTTGTCTTCATATAATCAAAATTGAATCTTGAATACCATCTATGGGATAAATTAAACCCCCTCTAATAATTAGTCTTCATATTATATTTAAAAAGTTAATAACCAACAGACTGACCTGAAAAATCTTATAAGACCTAGTATATCAGTTCACTATAAGACTGAGTAATTACAGTCAAAATTATTTTGTTCATAATGGGAGTGGCCTTAATCCATAATTATACGTTTATCCCTTAACTAGAATCAGATGCATAGTCAATGTTCATGAAATTCCTGATTGTTTAAGCATGAGAACACAAGATAAGATAGATGGAGACGAAAATTAAGTTTATTGACAAGGAAATAGATAATCATTTTATTCTTTCGGGACAACCATAGGTTTTGATTACATTGGTATAAATATACTTTTTCTTTAGCTTCTAAGTGTTACTTCTTTTGATTGTCATCAAGTTTGAAATCCCAGTTAGAAGTTAATTTTTATTGAACGAGATTTAGATCTTAAGAAATTTCTTTCTAAAAATCAACTTTTCAATGATATAATCAGTGTAGCTAACATGAAAGCACTCATAAAAGCACTACATTTGTATTGCAATGAAAAAGATCTAAATTCACTTGAAACTTGAAATTTTCTGTACTGACGCTACATAATATATTCTGAAAATAATAATCACACAATTCGTGCCAGTTGTTCGATCTTCTAAACTAAAAAAAACTACAGTCAATTAAGGAATCTGCTTGTAAATGAGTGAAGTATGAGATAGCTGAAAAGAAGGCTTTCTTCGTACATCTTCGATTCAAAGAAGATAGAACTGTTGAATTCATAAAGCAATGAATAAATGCCAAATTAAAGCCTATTTATCCCACATCAAAGCATGTTATCTCTTGTGAAGTGAACAGCTTTCCAGAATCAAAAATTCGACAAATCCTTTTTTTAGTACCTTTAATTGCGTTTATCAATCGAAACGTACTTATCGAAGCACCAAATTTAATCGATGATCGTTATGTAATCGACATTTGCCAGTTCTTTAAAACAATTAATATAGAAAATGAAACCTGAATTCTTTACTGTTCCCTGAAGTAGTAGCCATTGGAGTAGTTCAAACCGGATTTATGTATTCAGATAGAGAAAGTCTCTAATTTATCACTTTCATAGTCAACCTATATTTTTGATTAAATTGTCCTCAATTATTATTTGTATTTTATCATCCGATCTTTGTTTAGACCACCGTTGCTTCATCCATCATCTGTGATTTTCATTTACCCGATTCTTAAACGAATACAGACTATTTAAGTCTTTTAAAATTATCAAGTAATACATTTAAGTAATTCTCAAATTCCCAAAAATTACGGCCTCACCTCCTATTAGCTTTCTATATCTGTCTTTAAATGATGTATACCTACTGATTCTCATATATTCATATAATGTCGTCATATATCAGTACAGATGAGTCTGTAACCAAATGATGAGTATTCACTAAGTGAATTCAAGCTCAAAGTTTTGTAACCATTGTAGTTCTTGTTTTATTTCAAACTCATAAAAAAATGTCCATTTAATTTTTTTTCAAGTAAAACTAATGAGCCATTTCTGGTGAAAATCTACTACTATTACACACAACTGAAAAAGAGCTTCTCAATAAACAATCCTGAAGTTACATTATTTTTTCTTCTAAATCTCAATCAATAGGTGAGGTATTTTTTCAAGTAGTTTCTTTCTTACTAGTGGATAACTTAAAAATAGGAAATGGTCAATTGAGTATTGATTGAAATGTTAAATGATCCTATATGTTTTAGACATCAAGATATCTCAGGTGGATCAAGTTCAACAAAGTTCAAGGTTATTGCATATTTTTGCCATTAAAAGATAAGAACATCAATGTTTTTTTATGTGTTATGATGATAGCAATTAAAGAGACTAGAAAAAAATAATTAATTTAAATAAAAGACAAATAAAATTGAATAAAGATAAGTTATATAGAGTTAAAAGTACCCATAAACTCATTTAAATTCATTCATTTGAATTATTTCATTTAAATAATGTATAAATGAAATTTGAACTCCCATAGTTTATTCAATGTTCAATTATTAATTCTATAGAAATTCGATTATTGAAATACTTAAGTGAAATAAATATACTTTTGTTGTTGTTGTTGTTAAGACTTATTACTAAACTTGAATTATTCATTTCTTCATATCAATATTATATAATTTAAAGCATTGCTCATAGACTATAATTAGGATGTATATAGTTAACTGTTCATAAAGTATTCATAGTGATTAAAAGTATACACTGATATTGACCGATATTATGTTTTTTAATGTAATAAAATAATAATTTGTTTCAAATCACAATTCATAGACTTACAAACAGTCTGGCGACCTACTTGAATATCTAGGCTACCTGTTCCTGCTATCTGGATATTTCAACAAGTTATCTGTTTTCTTGTTTGTTTTAACACATCAATATTTCCTATTAGTCATATAACCTATTCAGCTGCGTTTGTGAAAAGTTTACAACATTTCGCTGTACAAGTTACAAAAGAGCCCAATCAGAGACATCATGGTTGCTGGTAATATGCATCGAGAAGAATATACATTAATCAGAAGTCGATTCCTGAACTGCTAACATCTAACTAGTGATCACCCAATATTTATCACAAAGTTCGATCAAGAAATAAGGAAAGGGAACTTTTCAAAACATTCTGTGCTGAGAATTCTATACTGTAACAAGAATATAATATCGAATAAAGCCGCTAATATTGATATTTTTAAAATTAGATTCAATACCACCTGAAATTCATTAGTGAAATTTTTCTCTAATTATGATGTTCGAACCCACGTCACTTAAATTTAGTTACCAAGTTGAATCTTTTTTTCTATCAATCAAATAGGAAAAAAAAGCATTTCCATTAAACATATTAGTAATTAGTCATATTTGTTGTTTCTTTGTATGTAATTACTCATTCAATAAAGGACATCACATTCATAAAGTATATTTCTGTGAATAGTTATAATATTAATGCATATTTAATCAGTTAACATGAGTTCATGATGAGAATCCCCTTCAAATTATAATCATTTAACATACTTAAGATCACATTCAAATAATTAAGAAAATATAATAGATCATATGAAACATTAAACATGAAATATTGAAACATTCTTAATGAAAAGTGACTGGATATTATGATAGAAACTCATTAATTCATTTTTGAATACACCAAATAAAGCCAATTAATTCCTTTAATATTGGGATCTAAAATGTTAACTTCAGTTATTTGCTGAACTGATGATAGAATTTATGATTTATATGTTATATTTATAATAATCTACCATTTAACGTGTTCCGATAATATAACCTGCAGACTCTGCAATAATAAGTTACAACATACATAATAGGAAAATCAAGATACTAAAATACAACACGAAAGATACCAACCCAATCTCACTTGATGGCGAAACTCTGGGACAGGTAGAAACTTTTACCTACCCGGTCATCATCATCGATGAACGTGGAGGATCTGATGCAGACTTGAAGGCAAGCATTGGCAAAGTAACGACAACATTCCTACAGTTGAATAACACATGGAGCTCAAAACAATTGTCAACCAATATCAAAGTCGAAATCTTCAATACGAATGCCGAGACAGTCCTACTGTACGGAGCTGAAACTTCTAGAACTACAGCAACCATAATCAAAAAAGTTACAAGTATATATAAACTATTATCCGCTTAAGATACTCAATGTCCGTTGACCGGATACCATTGCGGAAACTACCAAACTGCATCACGAGGCAAGCGGTTACTTGAAATCCTGAAGGGAAGCGTAACAGAGTAAGAAAAAGGAGCACATTGCGTCGCGAATTTGAAGCACGAATGAAAAATATGAGTAGCAACTGGAAAAAACTGGGAGGTACTGCCCAGGACAGAGTTAGATGGAAATGCCGTGGGGCGATCAATCCTCCTCTACGAGTGGTAACAAGGGTAAGTAAGTAATCAAGATAATATAACTTATTTACAACGAGTAATACAATTTTAAGCAATAGGTACATAAAAATTTATTATATAGATCATTTTAAGCATCTGCCATGTTAGAATAAAATTTGTAAACATGGTAATTGACAGTTTAGACAAGTGAATAACAATAAATTGTAAATATCTATCATTGATCGAAGTCACAATATTTAAGATAAATTCATGATTAATAACATATCCATGACATGAAACATCTCTTTTTTATGGTAACTGTACAGACGTAAACAATAAACTTAATGTTTTGTTTTCATTATCTCAAATAACTAGACCAATATAAAGTATTCAACATGACAAGTAAATGTTTTGTGTTCATTGATATGAAATAGTTTTGATATGAAGAAAAATATAGTTGTCTAGTTTACCTATCTGCTAATGCATACATTGTTTTACATTTCCAGTAAACAAAGTAACAAATTTCATATAAAATATAAATAAGTACTAATTTAATTTCTTGGATTCTTTTTAGGGTTATAAGCGATTCAATCAGGTAAACATACGGAATTCTATGTTGTTTTTTAGAGATGTAAG